AAAATAAATGTTTATCAAATAAAGTCTAATGTTACAACTAATCAGGGATCCCTTTAACAATTTTTATTTCTAAACTTTTCTCAACGCGTCATTTTTTAAAATCATCACTAGGGTGTGACTCCTKTTCAAAGCCTGCGCTAACAGGTGTAGCTTATCGTGGCTTTAATTTTAATAACTTCAGACATCCTCTTCTCACATCCTTAAAGAGGCATTAGAAAGCCCCTGGATGCTGTTTTCATTTGATTTCAGGTTGAGGCTTTGATCTATCTTTTCCTATCAAGCACTTACACCTCCGGCCATGTTTTAGTTTGGGAATGTTTCATCCTGAGGACAAAGAAACAGAGGGGGGGACGACAATCAGGGCGTATTTTAGAAGAGAGGAAAAGAGCTGACTGGGACCCGAGCCCCAAAGCAGGAACAGGATAAGGATGAGAACGGAGGAAGAAGAAGGGAGGAGGATGAGGAGTGGAGAATGTGAGAGCCTGCAGCTGTCCTGCCACTCTGCGARGTTTGGCAGCAAAACATAGAGGAAGAGAGGGAGGGGGGCAGAAATGCACGACGAAAGAAATATAGGTCAGACAACACCTTACTGAGAGCTGTGAACTGATCAGCCCACACTGTGTGCACTGAACTTTGCCTCGCTTCTTCTTGCAAGGCTTTTCTAAAATTGGGTTTTGGGAAATGTTCAMTTCTTTTGAGTTTATTTCAGAGTAACCTGAATGACCAAGTTTCTTCTTCTTGACTTTATTGATAAGGACCTTTGTGAAACTTACACACAAGGCAAATAAACTCAGGAAAAGAATAGACGGTAGTGTTTGGGTCTTTTGAAGTGAGTCCAAAAAGCAGTGGATTTAGGCCAACTTAGAACAGCTATCCTTGCCTTAAAGCAGAAGGTCACCATATTCAAGAGTCCCAGAACTGGAAAGACATTTATAGCAAGTGGTGTTTTTGAGAGGAAACGAGAGCAGACGTGGAAGAGTCCCTGAAATTCACTTCTTTTTTTTTTTTAAATCTTTTGATTTTCTGTAAAAACGGTCATTTTATTTAATTTCCCCTGATTTCTCAATAATTTCACATCTCTCCCGTGGGAATTTGTGGGTCAGTGACTGGAATTGGTTCTGATTTCGCAACATTTAAAGGCACAGTGTGTAGGATTTTGTCAATTCTTTTAGCCGAAATTGAGA